GCACATGTTGTTAAGCCTCCATGTATTTGTAGGCTTTTTTGTTTTCTTTCCATAATTTATTTCTAGTTTCATACCTTTGTGGTCTGAGAAGCTGGTTGGCACAATTTCAATCTTTCTGAATTTACTGAGGCTCTTTTTGTGGTTTAATATGTGATCTATTTTGGAAAACATTCCATGTACACTTAACAAGAATGTGTATCCTGCTGCTTTTGGGTGGGGTGTTCTGTAGATGTCTGTTAGGACCATCTGATCTAATGTATTGTTCAGCACCTCTGTTTACTTATTTTCTGTCAGGCTGATCTATCTGTTGGTGTGAGTGGTGTGTTAAAGTCTACTGAAATGAATGCTTTGCATTCTCTTTCCCCCCTTTAATTCTGTTAGTATTTGTTTCACATATTAATGTGCTTCTATGATGGATGCATAGATATTTATATCCTTCTTTGTCTCTTTTTACTTTCTTTGTTTGGAAGTCTATTTGATCTGATACAATTACTGCTACTCCTGCTTTTTTCTCCCTATTATTTGCATGAAATATCTCTTTCCATTCCTTCACTTTTATTCTGTGTATGTCTATGGGTTTACAATGTCTCTTGTAGGCAGCATATAGATGGATCTTGTTTTTTTATCCATTCTTCCACTGTGTCTTTTGATTGGTGCATTTAGTTCATTTACATTTAAGGTAGTTATTGACAGATATGTACGTATTGCCATTGCAAGCTTTAGATTTGTGGTTACCAAAGGTTCAAGGATAGCTTCCTTACTGTCTAACAGTCTATCTTAAATCTATGATTGCTATATTTCAAACACAATCTAAAGGTACTTTTTTTTCCCCTCCCCTCATTGTCATCATCTTCCTCCTCCACACTTTATATATTAGGTGTCATATTCTGTACTGTTTGTGTATCCTTTGACTAACTTTGTGAGTAGTTGGTTTAATATCATATTTGCTTAGAAATGAATTGGTCTACTACCTTGACTGTTGGTTTATTTTTTCTGGTGAAAGCTGTTTAGCCTTAGGAGCATGTCTGTCCAGAGCAGTTCCTTTATCATATCCTGTAAGGATGGTTTATTCACCTCAACTTTTGCTTATCTGGGAATTGTTTAATCCCTGCTTCAAATTTAAATGATAGTCTTGCTGGGTAGAATATTCCTGGTTGGTGGCCCTTCTGTTTCATTACATTAAATACATCATGCCACTTTCTTCTGGCCTGTAGAGTTTCTGCTGAGAAGTCTGCTGATAGCCTGATGGGTTTTCCTTTGTATGTAATCTTTTTTCTCTCTCTTGCTGCTTTCAATACTTTCTCTTTGTCCTTTATCGTTGCACTTTTAATTATTATATGTCTTGGTGTTGTCTTCCTGGGGTTCCCTTTGTTGGGTGATCTTTAGGGTACCATGACCTGACTGTTTCATTCCTGGATTTGAGAAGTTTTCAATAATAATTTCCTCAAACAGACTTTCTATCCCTTTGTCTTTCTCTTCTTCTTCTGGTACCCCTATAATGCAAATATTGTTCCATTTGGATTGGTCATATAGCTCTCTTATTCTTTCATTCCTAGAGATTCTTTTTTCTCTGTTCCTCAGCTGCTTTATTTTCCTGTTCTTTAGTTTCTATTTCATTTACTGTCTCCTCTACATCATCTAATCTACTTTTAAATTCCTCCATTTTATGTTTCATTTCAGACACTGTATGCTTCAGCTCTGAGTTGCTCTTTCTCAGGATTTCTGTCTCTTTGCTGAAGTTCTCCCTGAGATCTGTATACTTTTCTGTATATCCATGTGCATGTTTATATGACTTTTATTTTGAAATCTTTATCAAGAAGATTGGTGATTTCAATTTCACCAAGCCCTCTTTCTGGAGTTTTTTTCTTATAGTTTTGTTTGGACCAAATACCTCTGCCACTTCTTATTTTTAGTGTTCCCTGTGTAATAATAGTTTTGTGTAGGAGGTGCCCTCTAGTGCCCAGAAGTTCAACTTCTGTGTGGGAGCCCCATCTGTTGGTATGCAGTGGGTGTGGCACCTGTCTGTCTTGCTCCTAGTGATCTGATTTCAGGTGGACTGTGTGAGCTGTCAGCTAATCACAAGAGTAGGGAGAATACTCAGGGCTGTGCTGCTGGAGCTGCCATGGGTGGAGCCGCCCTCCCTCCAGCCTGCTGCAATGGTGGGGACTGCTGGCGAGAAGCACCAGTGCCTGCCGGAAGGAAAGAGTTCGGCTGGGAGGGGCTTCTGCCTTCCTGGCTCTAACGCCCACCTCTGCTGCCAGGTCAAGTGGGCCATGTGCACAGGGAGGAGCCTTAGTGCTGCGCGCTGGAGTTATCATGAGTGGGGCCACCCCTGGCAGGCCTGCTGCAATGGCAGGGGTTGCAGGCAAGCAGGACTGGTACCTACCAGGAGGAAGGAGTGGCAGGCTGTGTATTACGGGGGGAGCTTCGGGGCTGCATTGCTAGCTAGTGGGATGGAGCATCTGAAGCTCCTGAGAGTTCCAAACCTGCTGGTCTGAGTGGGCTGGGAAGATGTTGTAACCCTACCCTTTCTTCTGAGCAGAGAGCTCTGTGTAATCTTTGCCCCCCAAGTGCCCCTCTCTCTGCTAGGAGATCCTTCAAACTGCTTGCTTTTCTTTTGTCCCAGAGGGGCCGGTTGTGTTCACCTGTTCTCCACAAATGGCTAGAATCTCAGCTTCTCTGAGTGTTCTGCCTGTCATTGCTTTACAACCCCATTAATCTCCAGGATATCAAGTAATGTGGGTTTGTATTCCCTGAGCAGATCTCCAGGAGCATATCAGTGGTCTTGGGCTTCTGCTCCCTCCCTGCTCTGCTCCTCTTCTTCCCACCTGTGGGCTGGGGTTGGGGGAGGGCTTGGATCCCTAGGATTATGGCTTTGCCACTTTATCCTTTTCTGTGAGGTCTTCTTTTCTCCCCCAGATGTAGGCAGTCTGTTCTGCGGTCTTCAGGGCATTTTCAGGTTTAGTTGTATTTCCTGTATTTTCGTGTTTTATGTGATATTGGGAGGAGATATCTGCCTTGCTTCTTACACTACCAGTCTTTTCCCAAAATCCTCCAGCTCATAAGATTTTAGATGTATCTTCATTATTATTAGTTTCAAATGTTTTCTAATTTCCATAGGAATTTATTCTTTGACTCATGGATTAAATGTATTACTTAATATTTAAGCAGTTGAGGATTTTCTAGTTACTTTTAATTATTGATTTCTAACTTAACTCCACTATACAGAGAATATATTCTGAAAGATTTTAAACTTTTGATATTTTATGCTTGAAAATTTTTATGTGTATTTGAGAAGAATATAAATCTGTCATTGTTGATTGCATATTCTGTCTATGATAGTTAGATCCATGTACGTTAATTGTGTTACTCATCTTCTGTATCTTAGTAGTTTTTTTGTATGCTTAGTCTATCTGGCATTGAAAGAGACATGTTAAAGTCTCTGAGTGTAGATTTGACTATTTATTTTAGTCCTGTCATTTTTTGCTGTAAATGTTTTATTGGTTTATTACTAGATGTGTGCAGATTTAGAATTGTGACTTCTTCCTAGAGGTTGTATTTTCTCTGTCATCATGCAATGTCTTTCTTTAACTCTAATACCATTACTGCTTTAAAGTCTACTTTTAATATAGTTAAAACAGCTTTCTTATAGTTAATGATGTCTTTTTTCCATCCTTAGCTTTCAATCTTTATGAGCCCTTAAATGTAAAGTATCTCTTGCAGGCAGGATAAAATTGAATTTTACATTTTATGTAGTCTTTAGTGTATTTAGCCCATTTATATTTAATGTTATTATATTTGGGTTTATAGCTACCATTTTATTATTTGTTTTATGTTCACTTTTTTCTCTATTCTTTTCTTTGTATCAATAAAGTATTTTTTATTCCATTTATTTCTCTATTCCACTTTTCCTCTCCATGAACTTGTTAGTTATGTATTCTTTTTCTGTGTATGTATGTATGTGTGTGTGTATTTGGTTTCCAGTTTTTTGGTAGTTACTGTTCATTTATTATTGTCTAATGCAAATCTAACTTTTACTGCTTCTTCAGTGATGTTAGAACCATCATCCTAAGATATACCTTTTAAATATATACATAATACATATATTCTATAATTATATATGTATATTGTAAGTTCTGCTAGATCATTATTGTATTTAATCCTTGATATTCAGGCAATACAAATTTTTATTTACCCACATATTTATACTTCCCATTGCTGTTCTGCTAGTTTTGGTAAAACTCGGCTATTATCTTCTTAAACTCCAATTACATGTATGTTAAACTTTGCCAGACCCCACTTGACTTCCATGCTTTTCTGTATTTTCTATTCTTTTTCTCTCTCTCTGCTTCACATTATATATTTTCTATTGACTGCTCTTCTTGTTCAATAATCAAGTCTTTTACTGTGTCTCATTTAGTGTTCAACCCATATGCTAGATATATCTACGGCAGTTCTTCATTGAAGAGATGGTACTTGAGCTATCTTGGAAAACACATTGATTTTTGCAGTCAAAAATAGAGATTAAGGACATTCTGATAAGAAGGAAAAATATAGACACTTAACAGATTTATAAGTTTACCTATTTATAGCTCATAAAAACTTTGGGTCTATACTTCATAAATACACACAACTATTTTATTCAGTTTTGTGCTGTAAAACTCTTCAAAGCATTTGGGTCTGACACTCATATTTCTTACAAGTAGTATGGCTTTTGAGTATATTAGAGTTAGTAATTAAGTCATTTTTTTTTAAATTCTGATTTTAATGGCTGTGAAGACTGAACTTATTCCTAAGTCACAGTGTGGTCAATAGATAATAAGTATAGAAGTGAAAAGCCTGGTATTTCTGTAAAATTCTCTATTTACCTGAGTGAAGTTGAATAAATGGAGTTTTCAGAATATATAATCTTATAAAATATTTCTGAACTGCTTTCCTCCCATTTTCCTACTCAGGTGAATCAACTCAGCTTAAAAGTAATAATTCCCCTTTTTTCATAGGTTTTCTGTGAAGACCCTGATTGATCGGTCCTGCTTTGAGACAATTGATGATTCTTCTCCTGAATTTAACAATTTTGCAGCTATTTTGGAACAGATTCTAAGTCACCGGCTAAAAGGTAATAAACGAATGTTTTATTCTCCTAACAGCTCTATTTTTAATAGATTGAAATTTTAGAACTGTACAATCTAGTATGATTTCAATGGCAACCATGCCGTATCTTAAGAAAAACAGAAACTGATTTTAGAATGCCTAATCTTTTGGCCTGTCCTTTGTGTCTGGAAAATAATCTCTATTCTTTATACCTATTTCTGGGACCCATTAAAATACTGAGTTATATTAATTGCCACATAAAAGAAGCAAACTTTCCGTAAGTAATTAAAATAAAATGTTGAAACATAGCCCATCTTCAAAGGTTACTAGATGGTATTTCAATCAATTTATAAGGAAACATCCAGGTATTAAGTTTGTTTGCTTAGTTTCTGCTTCATTAAGCTTTGAAATCTGAAAATTTTTCTGCAGGAACTAGTTAAAAAAGAGGTATATAAAAAAGATGATCAACTTTGGTTTTCTTAAAATCAGAAAATATTTACATCAGAAAGAGATCTCTTAAAATTTAAAAGGTAAGATATGGAGCTGTGTTCTCTCAGAATTATAAAATAATTTTAAATATATAAAATATAGCTGAAAACATCAACCAATATGTAGCATAAATCTTTATAATAATAGATACTAACTTTATCATTTTAATGCCATTAGTCTACCTAAATGAAATTTGATCATCAGATGGTTTCACTTAAGTGTTTATTATCTTTCAGTCTTAATGATATAGTTTCAAATTACTAATTTGCTTTGGTAATATAAATAAGAGTCTCAAATTTAATCTGAAGGTAATTATGTTCTGTGCTTTTTTGAATTCAGTCAGCCCTTTGTAATCTGAAATGTGGTCCATAAAAACCACTGATACTTTCCTTTTACTTGCTCTGGTTATTTTGCTTTTAAGTGTTTTTTTTGTAAATTTTTGCTATACTGTATTTCCTAAATTTTATGTCATTAATATGTAATCTTTTATGAGAAAACAGGGTTTACAAAAGCAAAAAATAAGCATTTTGAGATGTTGGAGTGACTACATTGTGTAATGATCATATTTTTAAGTTTTACATATAAATTAGTAAAAAATACTTGACTAAAAAAACACGTAATACAGTAGACCTTAATGTACCTTAATGTTCACAACTGTTTTATTATAAGACCTCAATTCCCTTGATTAAGTATTGTACTATTTAGCATGATTCACTCACAAAATACATGACAACTGTCGAGAGAAACATTAGGCTGTATTGAGACATTCATGTTGAGTGATTGGGCAGACTCATTACCACGAAGTCCTCTCTCCTGCATACTAGTTTGCCCTCTTCTGATTCATACCTCAGCAAAATGTAAATCATAGACCTTTAGATTTACAGTTGACCCTTGAGCAATGCAGAGGTTAGGGAAGAGGTAATGCTTTTTTATATTGTCACAAATCTCTGAAAATTTTTCCAATATATTAATCGAAAAAATCCACATATAAGTGAACGCATGCAGTTCAAACCCATGTTGCTCCAGGATTAACTGTACTTAATAACGAATGTTATTTCTGAGAAGCCAATGAACTACTCTATTGAAAATAGAATCTCTAATTGTTTGATGTTTAAGAATTTGACTAGTATTACCAAGACATTAAGAAAGATGATATGATAAGATTTCCATTAATTTTTTAAACTAGCTAAGATTAGTAATTCAAAATATGCTTTTCTACAAACGTTCCTGTACATTGACCATTGGGTCACTGTGATTAGTAGTCATGAATCATGAAATGATCCATAATATTTGAGATGAGTTATTTTAAAGGGTCAAGTATCTTACAGACTTCTGTATATTGTTTTATTATAGTGTTGTAATATTTAACAAATTGCTTTTACTTTTGGAGAAGTTACATAATTATTTTAATAGTATGCTGTGTGCACTTAAAATTTAGTTATGTAACAACTAATTTTTCCAATGTTTGTTTTTATAGAAGTAAAATTTAAAAATATATGTAACTTAATGGGTTTGTAAGATTTAGTTTTCTCCAGCTACTTTTCATTTTTGAGATGAAAGTGCATTTGGCTTAAATATTAAATTTTTCAGAGAAACGTAAAATTCACCCCCAGACACAATGTAGGTTGTCCTGACTTAGGTAATGTGGAATGCTGAAACAGTTATCAACTTGATTCACTCCAAAAGTGCCATTATTGAAGAAGAGGAAGCTTTTAAAAATCACATACATTAATCTTATTTGCAGTTATCCCTTAATAAAATGATGATCTTACTTTTCTGAAGTATAACTGAGAACTAAGAATCACAAATTATAGAATTAAAAGAGACGTTGGTTCAGGTCTTCATTAATTTTTGAACTTTTAAAATTTATTTTAAAGCATAATCCTTTTCTCTACCCCATCCTCTCCTCCCCTAATAAAAGCAAGTATGGATGATGCATCTGTAAGTGGAATGTCTTGTTGAAGCAGATTGGGGAAATTGGGCATTTTACTCGCTCTGCTGGAGTTGCATCCCACCCTGTGCCTCCACAGCACCCCTCACGTGGCGCCATGAATCTCTGACTAAAAATCACTACTCTAGTCTCTCTCCTACTAAGGCAATCCACTGAATGACATTTTTAAGTGGTGGACAGACTGTGTTTGTTTTAATATTTCTGATATTAGGGCATTTAGGGTAGTAAAGCAGTCATTTTTGCACAGTTCAGATTGTTAGAAAATTCTTATGTACAGGAAGCCAAGGTAACTGATTGTGTTTTGATCCATTTTCTATGACTTTTTTTTGGTCAGTTTGGAGCGTAATAAATACTAAAAATTTCCTGTTCTATAACCATTTCTCTTCAGGTCTCCTTCTCTCTTCCAGGTAAGGTATCTCTATTTCCTTCAATCTTATGGAGACACCACAATCTTAGTTACTCTTCTGGTTTATCACTGGTTTGTTAGTGCTCTTAAAATTTGGTACTCAGAGTTAGGTAAAATGCCTCAGATAGGCTAACATCTGTGTTATTTAGAATTTAAGATTACATTGACATTTTGATTTCCACATGACACTGTGGCTTAGATTGAAATTGAGGTCAGGTCAATCCTTAGACTTTTTAAAAACTGGACTATCACTTGTTTTATGTTTTAGGTAGTTCTCTAAATTAGTTGTTCATACTCAAGTTTGGTAGATATAAATGCAGTATTATTTCCTTCATCACCTATTTTAGAGATGGATGAGGTGACTGTAAAAATTAAAATAGGAGGACTTCTGCTTCCAGTAAAGGAAGTAAACATATTTTTCCCTATTTCTTCCACTAAGTATGACAGGAAACCCTGGATATTCTATATAGAAACAAACACAAGAAGATTCTGAAAAGTGAAGAGAAGAAGGAAGACTATCTAGGGCCTTGGAGACCTTAGAAATGACATGGTGGTGGTCTCCTTCAATTTTTGATTGTCCTGCATATTCAAGTGTAGGTAAGCTAGTAGCCTGCAAACATCAACAGGTACAGACAAAATGTCCCTAAAAGGATCTGTTCTCTCTAGCTAAAGGACAAGGAATAGAACAGCCTAGCAGATGGATAACTTTTATTAGACAGTATCTGCTCTAGTTTAGCCAAATGCCACAGAAAAACTGTGGCACCACTCCTATCCTGGCCAGAAAGGCTACATGGGAAACCTAGAATTCCACCCTCATGAATCTGTAACAAAGTGTTCCAACACCACAACCAGATTGGTATCAGGGAAGGATAACCACAAACTTGCGACTTCTTCCCTCCTTGCTGGTTGTGAACCTTCTCTCCCACCTACTCCTACACCATGTCAATGAAGAGCCTGGACTTACATCTCTACCTATCTCCACTTGGCCTCTTGTGTCAAGAGGTGAGGTTGTGTCAAAAGAGGCTTATTGGAGACTTTTTTCATTAGTCGTCATCCAGTGGTAACAAAGCTACCCTGATGCATTGTCAGTGGAGACCATGCAGGAAGCCTGGACTCCCACTACCAACCAGCAGGAATGACCACTCCCCACTCAGTGTCAGTGGAGGTCAACTTTGAGTTGAAGCCAGTGCTTATAGAGCATTCTGAAAATTCTAAGGCCTTTAAGAATTAGGCTAAATCTACTCTGCCTGTGTTCTATAAATGGAATAACAAAGCCTGAATGACTGTACATCTGTTTACACCATGGTTTATTGAATATTTTAAGCCCATTGTTGAGACTTACTACTCAGAAAAAAAGATTCCTTTCAAAATATGACTACGCATTGATAACCAATGCACCTGGTCACCCAAGAGCTCTGATGGAGTTGTACAATCAGATAAATGTTGTTTGCATGCCTGCTAGCACAACATCCATTCTGCTGCCCATGGATCAAGGAGTAATTTTGACATTCAAATCTTATTATATAAGAAATACCTTTTATAGGGTTATAGGTACCATAGATAGTGAGTGATTCCTCTGATGGATCTGAGCAGAGTCAATTGAAAACATTCCAGAAAGGATTCACCATTCTAGATGCCATTACGGATATTTGTGATTCATGAGAAGAGGTCAAAATTTCAATATTAACAGGAGTTTGGAAGAAGTTGGTTCCTGCTCTCATGGACAGCTTGGAGAGATTCAAGACTTCAGAGGGGGAAGTTACTACAGATGTGCTAGAAATATCAGAAGAACTAGAATTAGAAGTGGAGCCTGAAGATATACCTGAATTGCTGTAATCTTATAAAACTTGATCAGATAAGGAGTTGCTTCTTAGGAATGAGCAAAGATAGTGGTTTCTTGAGATGGAATCTACTCCTGATGAAAAGGCTGTTAAGATTGTTGAAATAACAAAAGGATTCAGAAGGTGATATGAACTTAGTTGATAAAGTGGTGGTAGGGTTTGAAAGGATTGACTCCAGTTTTGAAAGAAGTTCTGTGGGTAAAATGCTATCAAACAGCATCTCATTCTATAGAGAAATCATTTGTGAAAGAGTGAGTCAGCCAGTGTGGCCATCTTCATTTTTGTCTTATGTTAAGAAATTGCCACAGCCACCCCAGCCTTCCATCAGCCACCACCCT